CCAAAGTTTAACACTAAGGATACCTTACTGGATCTACTGACCATAGATAAACAAACACACAAATGTTGAAATGTAAGTAAACAAAATTAATAAGAAGTCTAAAAATGGAACATGTACACAAGTTATAGGATAACAAATACAACTAATCAATCAAAAATTAAACAACACAAGTAAGATTAAAAATGCTATATTTTAAAGAATATAGTGAAATAACATACAAAACAAATTTATTTCTTGACAACAGAACTTAAAACCAGATGGTGTACGTGTGTGATTAATTAACCACCTCACACAATGATGTAGTTCATGTAAGCTATGCAAGTGCATTTATCAATAAAGTAATAAAGTGAATGAGAATAGTGTGGATCCTATGAGGAAAAATTATATCCTATGAATATCTATAGTACAGCCTACTTAAGTAACACAATTATCCTACTAAAGTTAATTGAAGGTGAAGTTCTATAATCTACTCAAAATACTAAAAAATATAAAGTACTCAGATGAAAAGATGTGTTGGACTCATAATAATGAATATTATAATATTTCTGAAATAGACTCATCAAAATTTCTTGTGAATTAGAGCGTATACAACCATAGATTTATATTGAGCTTGCAAGGGTGTAAAATAAGGATCTCACCTTGTTACAATAATTTAATCTACATAGACCATAGAAACCTATTCACCCTATGCTTTGGTATGAAAATTTTCTATATAAATTCTCCTATTTCTTCCAACATTCCTCCATCAAGACAATGAATCAAGATAGATTTTAATTTCACACATGAGCACCACATGAATTAAATGAAGTATGAGAGTAATTGATAATAACCATAAACAATCTTATGTGCAAGAGTCAATATTAGAAATAATATGCTTCATTCATAACATACGCCCAAAACAAATGTTTTTAACAAACAATAGAAATGATTTTCCACAAAATTGATTATATTATGAACATTATAAAAAAAGTATAAGAGATTAAGTGGAGAAAGTATCACATGGACTAATGTATATAATCACTACCAAATAATGGATGCTTTTTGAATAGAATTACCTTATGCCTGTTCACTATCCACTCTAAACTCCTACACCTTTTATTGTCTCGTATAATAAATAGATAACTAGCCCTCAACAAAATAAAAAGAAAATTATGTATACTTAGTATAAAAATTTAGACTAGCACTATGACACTCAAGATTTTGGAGTTACTACATATCAATCATAAACTAGCATCTCGAAGCTAAACATTTGGTTTTTCCATGGCATTCAGCTGAATCGGCTTAACACTTCTAAAGTTAACTATTCTAACTCATAAATCATGATGTTGAGGGCAATTTGGCTCCTCGGTGTCACCATGGCACTGTAACGTTGAACTGGATCTTTCACTACGGTGCTCCTAGCGTTGGGGCACTTTGGATGCTGGGGCTGAGACTTTGCCAATTTATAGAGATCAATCATACCAGCACTCCAAAAGCAGTGTCAAGGCTTTGATAGTGTTATGGTGCATCTAGGTTTTATGGTGCTTGAGTGAATTTTTAATTTTTAGCCTTTTGCCTTAAAAAGTCCTAAACAACATTAACTAAAAATACATTCTCACTAGCAATTTAAGCATACAATAATAACATAAAATTCACTTAATAACTTTATCTCTTATATCTCTCTTCTCCTTCTCCCCTCGTTCTCCTTTCCTCCTCTCCTTTTTCATTAGTGTCTGGAACCATGGCGCCCAAAAGCACATCATCACCACACTACATGCTAAACCTTGAGTTCTAATAGAACATAGACTTCTACACCATGACGACGCTTTACCAGCACTGCTATGCTTGCATGGACAGAGCCACGGTGCTGCATAGTAGATTTCCATATTTTTAAATAATTTTATTTTATGAAATATTGGGTTGGTACATTCTACCCACCTTTGACATTTTTACTATTGATTCAAAATAGTTAATTCTTCATAAAAAAATATATAAATCATTTCATTAAAATTAAACCATTGGTAAAATAAAATTAAACACTAAATCAGTATAAAAACTAAATCAAACAACTTATTGACCATTATTTAATCAATCATGTCATTTAATAAATCATAAATTCAATAAGTCAACTTGTTTACATATTAACGCATTTTATTCTATCACATTTCATGTAATAAGCTATATAATTGTATCAATCAACTATGTAATAAGCATCCATAAAATCAAATAGAATAATTTCTTTGGATAGAGAATTCTACCAGTGGATCTTTCAAACAAATCTCTATTCTCTTGATATATTAGATTGTGGACTTTTGGTCATATTGGTGCTGGTGTTGTCATGGTAGAATGAGTAGAATGTTTCTAACTCCAACCCACACCTCTCCCATCCATCATGTATAAAGATGCTTCAATTTTATTTATTGATCATTCACTGTAGAACCAAGAACCAACCATCCTCTATTTATAAGTCTCTTTGAATTATTCTGCCCTAGATACATATCCTTCTTTATAACCATATTATGGGTAATCAACCATCTTATGTCCTTATTGTCCATATTTAAAGCACCGCCTAGTGATCAAGAAATACATTATAGTATGTCTTTTTCTACATCTAAAACACTTGGGTACTCCATTCGCTACTTTCATATTTTTTCTTAGAATTCTCTATTCTCAATTCTTAAGCTTTCCTCTTTCTAATCATACTTGTCTAAACAATGAGATAGCTAAATTATTCTATACTAATCCTGCTCACTCAACTAATTTAAAAAAAAGCCAAATTTCATAATGGTACTAGTGAGTATCTCAATTCATCTTTTAAACCACTAAAAAATCTATAACATTTCTCTTATGTTGTACTAATCAACTATGAGTTATACTTAGCTAATGCAATAAATTTTGCTTCATACTACATCACTGTCTTTTCCCCTTGCTCTATTCCATAAAAGCCTCATGTATTTGCTTTCGAGATGATGGAGATACAAACTAATTTTTTAAAATAATTAAAAACTCTGCCTAAGTAAATTATGCATTCTTCTTTCTCTAGAAATTTTCTCACTGCTATTCTATCCACCATCTATTTGCCTCTCCTTAAAAAAAAAAATAAAAAATACTACTAGTGACACTTTCCTAGTCTTAGGACATTGTATACTATCAAATATTTTCTTAATTCTTAATAACTAATCTTCTGTTATACGTGGTTCTATAGCTCTCCTAAAAAATGGTGGCTTCAACTTATAAAATATTTAAAGGTGTTTATCTTCATCATTATCCATAATCACCCATTGTTTGCTTTGAGTGTCATTTTAAATATGAGTAACCATACTGGCAAGTTGTAACATACTCAATGTGCACCAGCAAAATAAAGGTCAGCGCTACAACACTTCGCAATGTCGCAGCTAGAAATCATCATCGAGGAGCTGGAGTCTTATGTTGAACATCAAAGCACAAAATTGCACAATGTTGCAATGCCCAATTACATATTCAAGCGCTGCAACACTCAACTTGTGGAGCACTACGACTGAGTAGTTGATGAAATATGGAGCTACACCGAATTAGCCCAACGACACGTCGATTTAGCTAAAAGTCGCGCTGAATCATTCCAACACTGCATCAAAGCCTACTTATCAGCTACACATGTTAAGCTTTTAAAATGTTTTCCATCATTTTTAGATCTCATATTAATTGCAAACTAAATTTTAATTATTAATTTATTAAAAAATAACACAATTTTTAAAATAATTTTAAATTCTTAGCATATTTTATTGAGGTTGTCCCCAACTTCAAAGAATTATTTCAGAATTTTCAAACACTATAAAATAAAAAAAATAAACTTTTAGTTTAGTAATAAAGTAAAAAAATAATCTAAGAATTAGGAAATTTCATACAAATTAAATAAAAAAGTTGAATAATGCTGAATAGATTTATATGAAAACATAAAGATTCAAAGACTAATAGATTAAATAATTTGAAATATCACAAAACTTAAATAATTTTTTTTCACATAAACCCTAAATTATCTAAATTTATAAAAGATAGTTATGTGCATTTTAGAAACTATGAAGTGTCACCTCAACCCTTGGTGAGGTTTATACCTTAGTATATCTTGAATGCTTTAAATGCCAATGTTTACCTTATGTTAAATGTATATTTTTTGAAACACTAAAATAAACAAAAGAAACATTGAATTCTTAAATTCAAATAAAATCTTTAAACCAATAATGACTTAGAACATGAACAACTCAACTCAAAGCCTATATAAACCCTTTAGTCATGCCTCAAATTTATAAAATGGACAACTTAAATTCTAAGTTTAAATTTTAAAATTTAAAATCCTAATGTATGATAATTGTAGTACTTTTGAGTTTATCAAAATCCCCTACTCCATATAATTATTCTTTTTGGCTCCCTAGAAAGAATTATTTTAAATAGTTTATGTATATATAGTCTTATAATTGATTTATATTTTACTTGTTTTGATGACTATTGAGATCATACAATACAACTAATCATATATATTATTTTAAAGAGAAATCTTATGAAAGTTACACCTGATCACATATAATTTTATATAAGTTTGTTATATGTATATTTATTTCATAATTATATAGATTCATATGTCCATTTATTATTCTGTTACAAATTCTGAAAATTATGTATATTTAATTTTTGATTAACCTAGTTTATGTTAATTCTAAAATTACATATGATGAGTTACACGTGCAATATTATAGCTGGTGAACGGAATAATTAAACTATACTTTATTTTTAGAATATGATTTTAATATTATTTTGTATTATTTGCGACAGATTTTTAACAGTACTCAATTAAATTTTTTTTATTTGAAATTTAAGATATATATACATTTAAAGTTAATATATATTTCCAAATTTAACTATTATAGAGGCATATGAAGACAAAATTATCTGAGCCAAACTAGCCTTAAAATTGCTGGTAAATTCAAAAGAAAAGCCCAAGTATTAGTGATAAGCCACGCCACCAGCAAGCACAGGCATAGGGCCAAAGCCCGCAACAGTTCCGCTCGCCGTACCGGAGTTCTTGCTTACGCTGGCTTCGCTCTTACTCGTTCGTTGCTAAATTTTTTGAATAAACAAGCAAAAGCACAAAAATTGCCAAAACTTTAAAATAAATTCCATGGGAGTATATAATGCCGCGTGTCTTCGTGGTCTGCCATCATTGCCCAAATCACCAAATTCTCGGCCTTTTCTCTCTACCCCGTATTCTGTCCTTCCCCTTCCCTATTCCCATCTTTTTACCGGCGGCGGCAGTCAAGGTGCAGCTAGAGTCACTAGGCAGATATTTTGGGCGATGAGTTTTTCTCCTTCCGATCCTCTCTCCGTCGAAGAGAAGACCGCTGTCAAGAGCGAGCGACTCTCCTCTTTCCGGTTGAGCGAATCCACCTTTCTTGCATCCCTCATGCCGAAGAAGGAGATCGGTGCTGATCGATTCCTGGAGGCCCATCCCACTTACGACGGCCGGGGCGTCGTCATTGCTATATTTGGTAATCCCTACTGATGAAGTTAGGGCTTCCGATGTGGTTTGATCTTTTCTTGCCATCAAGCATATACATGTCATTTGATGATTTATGGGGTCCAAAGTCGCTTTGTTGAGTTATTACTTCTAGCAAGGTTCTCTATTTGCTTATCTAAACATCTTGCCATCTCAACAAGTAATTCAAGCGAGTGGCAGATTTTACTCAGTATGAGGCATGCATGATAAAAACTTGGAGATCCACTTCCTTAAGGCCTGGTGTTAGTTGTTGAGCTTATATTGCTGTTTATTGGACATAATGCATTTTCCCTTTCTGTGTTCCATTGATGGGGTTCATTCTATGTTTCCTTACTAATACTCATCTATTTTTAATCATGTGCTTATGCTGTGTGCATACTTACAAGTAAAAGGGTTGTGATTTTGGAGTATTTAGATTTATGTAGCTTCATTTTAAAAAAAAACTGATTGTCGTTGAGGATTGGAAGTTGCTTGATAATTATTGTGCAACTAACAGCTCCATTTCAGATTCTGGCGTGGATCCAGCTGCTGCTGGCTTGCAGACGACGTCAGATGGAAAACCAAAAATCATAGATATATTAGATTGGTAATGACCGTTCCATGGAAAATTCTGTGTTAACTGATAGCTATTTCTGAATATGATGCCTCTGAATCCGACTAATAATTTAGTTCTATCTTGAGCATAGATATATTAGATTTGACCATAGTTCTATCTTCAAGTATTGCCATTTGTTGCCAGCAAAGTATATATCTTAATAGTACAATTCAGCTCACTTTATGCCATGACTAAGTATAACATCTCAACTTTGCAGCACAGGAAGTGGCGATGTTGACACCTCAAAGGTTGTCAAGGCTGATGCTGATGGCTATGTAATGGGAGCTTCAGGTTCGCATTTTGAGTAGCAGTTCAATTACAATTAAGATAACAGACCTGCAAAAACATTTAGAATTCATCGCATTGTGCTTTAGTTAAAATTTTACGTAAGCTGCATATTCTGATTCTAGCTGATGGACCTTTTCTTTGCTTTGGTTTAATGGCTAAGAAGCACATAAGTAGCATCGTGAATTTTTCTCTTAATCAAAGAAATGATTTTGTAAGTCGATGCAAGAGTTGGAGAAGTCGTGTCTGCACTTTGCAGAACCAGTATATGCGCAATCTTGTGAATCCCATACTATGCCAAGTATGTATATTTATTGTATTAATAATTGTGCATAGTATGACCTTACTTGAATAGGATCTATTCTATAGGATCGAACAGCTACATTTCTAGTAAAAAATAGGCAATATTGTGCATAGAGTAGGTCATGATGAAATATAAACAAATGTATGTATTAGTTAGAATGAGTTGAAGCAAGAAATGAATACTAAATCATCAATTCTATTCAATAAGGAAGTGGCTTAACACATTTTATTAAACGCCGTTCAAAGTTTCTTCTCAGAAATTGCGTGGAAAGGAGATTAGAACACTTATATATACCATAGATGTATCATAATATGGGAATTGGATGGTAATATGGCTGGAATAAACTTTTGGTGATTTCAATTATAACTTATGGTAGAAGTAGGCTATTATGCGTGAGGAAGAAACAAGAAGTTGTGCACATAAGTCTCACCTAGCTCTTGTCTATCAATGAGAAAGAGCCTTGCTCATGCATAAATGAGAATAAGCATAAATGATTTTATTCTCAAATGCATTTCGATAATATACCAGTTTTCTATGTAATTGTTTTGATGGAGTTTTCATTGTTTGTCATTCATTTGACTATTTTTATAATTAAGCTTAATCACTAGCATGCCAAATATGAAAGTAAAAAACTATTTAATTTCCGCTTGAAAGGTTGGAAATTCACTATCATGTTGTCTGTAGGGGCACGACTGCTTCTTAATTCATCATGGAAAAATCCTTCGCAGGAGTGGCATATAGGCTGCAAATTAGTTTATGAACTTTTCACAAACAGTTTGACTTCTCGTATTAAGGTACTTATATATATGCAATCTTAATATTAATTTGGTATAGCTTGATTATCCTTTATTGTGTGTGTTTTATGGTTAAATTCTGCAGAAAGAGAGGAAGAAAAAGTGGAGTACTAAAAATCAAGAAGCAATCTCGGAAGTTTTGAAGCATCTTAATGAGTTTGATAAGGTTTTATATGCTTAAATCTTTCCTTTGTATTTTTCCTAAATGAATATTTTATACATGAGTGGTATTATTTTTCAACATGTTGATAATCAAAGTAGCTGTTTTATTTAATCAATCAATACACTTTTCTTCTGAATGTATAGTTTATGTATTCATCTTGAGTGATATGTGTTAGAGCAGGTGGCATGATTACCCTTGAGGTAAATGAATGTCTTTCATATTTTTTGTTTCATTCTTCATTTACCCAAGGGACTTAAGAAGATGTGTTGTTTTGTCTCTTCAGAACCCACCTGGACTTAAGGTAAATGATTACCATTTTAGCGTATGCATTTTATGATTATTGACATAGTAATATCATTGAGGGAACAATCTAGTGTAGTATACTTCTAAAGATAATGTTAGAATAATACAGCACTGCTGTTGCCAAGTCCCAAGTCTTGGATAAGAAAAGTGGAGGGTTGCGTTAGATAGTCGACAACCAGCGTAAAACTCGTCGAATAATCATGAAATTAATCCTTTAAAAAATTGTGTTAATGCTAGGGCATCCCCTGGAAGCGACGCGCTGTATGGCCATGATATAGTGACAAGTGTGCAAGGGCTGCTGCATTGGCGCCCGGGTGCAGTGTTAAATATGCAAGGGTTCCCACATCAAGGATGGATGTGGGCAAAAAAGCTAGTCCATAAAACTAAAATTAGGATAAGAATTTAAAATGTAGGCTCCCTTATAGAAAAATTAATGATATTAATAGATATTATGATTCATAGGAAGATAAATATTCTGTGAATTCAAAAAACTAAATGAGTTGGAGAGAAGGCTAAGGAGATTGATAGTTTAGGATATAAACTATAATATTTGGGTAGGAGTCTTACTAGAAATAGTGTAGATATGATTATAAATAAGATTTTAAAAGATAATGTTATAAAAATTAATAGAATTTAGATGAATTATAGCTTTAAAGATTGTTGTTGATACTAAGATTATTAATATTATAAGTGTTTATGTTCCTCAAATAAGTTTGTATTAAGTTTAAAATTAAAATTTTGGAATTACATAGAAGAATTAATACAAAAGATACCTATTAAAGAAAGAGTTTTTATTGAAGGAGATTTAAATGGATATATTTGTAGAGAGGTAGATGATTTTAAAAGCATTCATGATAGCCATATGTTTGGAACGACAAATGAAGATGGTAATATTATATTAAATTTTTCTTTAGCTTATGATTTCTTAATAACTAATTCTTTATTTAAGAAAAGAGATGAATATCTTATCATTTATAAAAATGAATATAGTAAAACACAGATTAGATCGTTTAGATCGCAAAGATTGTAAAGTTATTATATTAATTTTAAACTTTAATATAAAGGGGTAGAAAATAAAAAATAAATTTAAAACGATTTTCTAGGATTAGTTGGGGGCATCTAAAGAATATTAATAAAAATATTTTTGAGAGTAAGATTTTAGATCTTAAGATTTTGTCTGTGCATGAGGATGCTAATGTTATGTGGAAAAAATGACTAGTAATATTAAGAATATTGCAAAAGATGTGTTTGGAGTTTTGAAGAGAAAAGCTCATAATAGTAAAATTAGTTGGCGGTGGAATCCAAATGTGCAAGAAAAAATAAAAAATAAGAAGATTTGTTATACAAATTTGTTTAGATATAAAAATTCTGATAATTGGGAATGCTATAAAGAGGCTCTTAAGGAATATAAGAAAGATGTTTGAGATGTAAAGAGCTTAGCTTTTAATGATTTATATAATAGATTTGATACTAAGGAGGGAGAAATATGTATGTATAAGTTAGCCAAACAAAGAGATAGAAATAATAAGGATTTAATTCAAGTGAAGTGTATTAAGGATGAAAATCAAAAAGTACTTTTCTTAGAAGATGATATTCTATAAAGATGGATGAGATATTTTACTAAACTTTTTAATGAAGAATGTGAAAATTCGATTGACTTTAGTGATTTTAGCACCCTAAAGGAAAATAAAAATTTTTGTTTTTATCGGCGTATTAATAAAACCGAAGTTAAGAGTGACTTTAAAGAAAATGAAGTGTGAAAAAGCTGTTGGACCTGATGATATTCCAATAGAGATGTGGAAATGCTTGGGAGAGAAGGAATTTCTTGGCTTACTAAGCTTTTAAATACTGTTTTGAAGACTAAAAAGATGCCACATCAGTGGAGAGTGAGTGTGTTAATTCATATTTTTAAGAATAAATGTGATGCACAAGAGTGTACGAATTATATATGAATTAAGTTAATATGTCATACTTTAAAACTATAGGAGCGAGTTATAGAGCTTAGGTTGCGGCGTGATACTAATGTTTCTCAAAATTGATTTGGATTCATGCCGAGTAGGTCTACTATGGAAGACATATATATATATATATATATATATATATATATATAGATGTAGAAATGCTTAGAAGATGAAGGAATTTCTTAGCTTACTAGTGAGGGGATTGTGACTTTGGGCGATCAAGTCATTAATAAGAGTACACACTTTAGATATCTTGGATTTATTGTTCAGAGTGATGGTGAAATAGATGGAGATATTATCAACAGACTTCAAGTTGGATGGTTGAAGTGGGGGAATGCATCGGGTTTGTTGTGCGATAGAAAAGTTCCCCGCAAACTTTAAGGAAAAATTCAATAAGATGGTGGTGAGACCTGCAATGCTTTATGGTGCTGAATGTTGGTCATTAAAAGAGAAGCATAATACTAAATTAAGTGTTTCAGAGATGAGGATGCTTAGGTGGATGAGTGGCTTTACCCTTAGGGATAGGATATGAAATGAGCATATACGTGAAAAGGTTGGAGTAGCTCCAGTGGAAGATAAGATTAGAGAGAGTCACCTTTGATGGTTTGGTCACATTAAATGGAGGCTTTTCGATGACCCGGTTAGGAAAGTTGAGATATTAGATTTGACTTATGCTAAGAAAGGTAGATGTAGACCTAAAAATACTTGATTAGAAAATATTAGAAATTATCTTTCTTTATTATATTTAAATGAGCATTTGACTTTTAACAAGCACAATGACGCAAAAGGATTCATGTAGCCGACCCCACATAGTGGGACAAAGGCTTGATGATGATGTTGTTGTTGTTGTTGGTCAATGAGCCCGATGGAGAAGTCATCAACCAGGTGTAAGTTTGACATAAATTTGAAAAAAATCCTAGATTTGGACTGCATAAATAAAATTTTTCACTAGAAAAATAGTGGACTTACAGGCTATGAAATCTCCTTTTTAGTGAGAATGAGTGCAGATTTTTCTTGAATAGTTGATGGCTACTTATGTTGAGGTGGTATTAAACCTTGATGAAAGAATAAAAGAAAATTGATGGATGAAGATTGGTGCCAAGCTTTTAACCCCTAACAACATTTACAGGAGTCGCAGATGAAAAAGGATCGAGGAGTCTGAGATGCAGGAGTTGTAGTAACTGATGATATGTAAGTTGGAGGGAAAAAAAAAAAAAAAAGTAAGCTGGAGGATCATTTGAGAAGGTAGGATCCGTTGGAATAGGTGGCAGCAATGGAAGTGACCAAACATATAGTTCTGTGTAAGCTGGAGGAGCATGATATGAGAGCAGATTGATAAAATTCAGGTGTTGACAGGGACTGTCCTATAGAGTTGATGGAAGCAAAGATGCTAAGGAAATTGATTTTGAATGAGAAAATGTTGGGACCCCTAAAGTGAAGATAAGTGGTTGGCGAGCAAAATAGTTAGTAGGCCTGCAACCTTAGACAAGGCGCAAGCTATGAAGGACACTAGCAGCACCAATGGGCACAATGGCAGGGAGTGATGAGCAGCTCATGCACTCGAATGCCTGGGCGCTGAGGATGGGATGCCATAGGGGCAACCTATGAGGATGTTTTGGCAGGGCGGGAGCATCCCTAGAGGGTGGGCATGTCGTGATTAAGGGATGAAGATGTTTGAAATGCTTCAGGAAGTGGTGGGGAGTTTTTGAAAATTTTAGTTTGTTTTGATTCACTTGGAATGCTAAATAAGGGTTGGTCAACTATTCATTAGTCTTTATTAATTTTTTGCTCACTTTATTTTAAATGCCCAACCTTCTTCCTCCGTCACATCCTCAATTATTGTTACCTTAAACGGGATGGAGCACTGAGAAGCAATGTGCCCGTACCCATGGCATCTAAAACACTTAGTGCCGGCAGTGGTCTTGGGAGTCTCTCGGTTGGGTGTTTTCCCCTTATAGTCGGATCGAGGTTGGGCTTGACTAGGAGTAAGCCGACTACCTGAGGGTCCAGTGGGTTTATTGTAAGGTTGGCTAGAGGAGGACTTGAAGGGATTAGGTCTAGAGTCTTGGGTCCTAGAGGCGTGGCTCCTTGATTCTTCCGAAGACTGACGGGTGATGCGTTGCCCTTCTCCAAGGGACTTCAACTCACGAGCCCGGACCCATCCTGCGGCTGGTGGAAACTTCGACTCCCTCCCATAGGGATTTCACTAACGTTCTTCCCAAAGAACACAAGTGCAAAACACAAATTTTTATTATAATTCCATCATACCTAATACATGAGAAGGGGCCTCTATATATAGGCCTTGAAAGAAATTAAAAGACACATTTGCCCCTTGGGCTTACATAAGACAAGAGGGTAAAAAGGGAAATTGCACAATTAAAAAAAAATACACTTAATAGACTAAAATAAAATAAAGTGATCTCGGTCGTCGATCTTCAGCTCCTCCTCGGATAGGCATGTATGGTTGGATGTCCGCATCAGGTTGACTAACATATAATGTTCATCATGCAAAGATTTCAAGGGATTAATGTTCGAATATGATTTTTTTTCTTCTCATTCAAGTGTACATTTTAAATATAAGTCATGTTTCTTATATTTTAAAAGCTCTATTTTATCAAAGTTAGACCTAAACTTCCGCGGGATTCTTCGATGCATTTTTGCTTTAGTTCTTAAAGATTTATTAAAAAAAAAAACAAAAAAACTGATCTAGATTTAAATTTATTTTGTTTTAGCTTTTGATGATTTTCCATGTTCTTGTTGGTTGCATTTAGGGCATATTAAATATGTTCTACTTGGTTTACTTGAACACCTCTTCTGTCTTGACTGGGTTAATTAATATTTATGAACTCGATGCCTTTTTCAGAAACATCCAAAAACTGAGGACTCTAAATTAAAGAGAGTTCGTGAAGACTTTCAAAACAAGCTTGATTTCCTTAGGAAGCAAGATGAAGTATGTGATTGCACAATTCATTCTCTTAGGTGTTTCTTATGCATTTGTTTTCTTCTAAGTAAAATTATAATCCTTATTATCTAAAGTTTCTTACAATTCATCCATGATAGAGTTATGATGACAGGGGGCCTGTAATTGATGTAGTTGCCTGGAATGATGGTGATTTATGGAGGGTTGCTGTTGACACACACAACTTTGAAGATGGCTCAGAGCAGGGAAAACTGGCAGATTTTATTCCTTTAACAAACTACAGGTATACACCATCCAATTATTGTTATCTACTTGCTTAATGTTATAGTTATATTATTATAATATTCATTATAATTCATGATACTGCTCACTCTAGCATTTTCAAACTGATATGCTTGTGTGGCCTTTGCCGATTTCTTTGAGTTTCATTTTTGCAGACGTACTACCCAGACATGATGCTTAATGCTTTAGCAATTTTAACAGTTTTTCTAGGAGAGTCTCGAGTTCCAGACAACGTGTATGGATAATTTGGAATAATTCTTGAAGAGTGATTTTTTTTCTTGAAAAAAAAAATCATATGATCTGATTACCCTTCTCTTTCACTTCTATTTTCTGTTTATTTTCACATGCTTTTATCTGATTCCAGTTTGAATTAGATGTTTGTATTGGTATACTGTCATCAAAGTGAGCTTACTTGACTTTGGTTATACTGCCTATTTGGTTGGTGACTTACTTGACATTGGTTGATGTTTCTGGCTTCTTGTTTGCATGGTTCACTGGTTTTCATGACTATTACATTCCACACTTTTTTTCACGACTGCACTTTATTTTCACAATCTCTTGTACACTTTTGTAGAATTGTTCATGCATAAACTTGGTCCATTTGTTAATTATAGTGATGTGAAATTATTCTGGATTTGAACCTTAATGATTGAATTGTATGAATTTCCTTTCATTGGAGATCCCTTTGGTTTCAATATGCAGAATTGAAAGGAAGTATGGCATATTCAGCAATCTGGATGCCTGTTCTTTTGTTACTAATGTTTATGATGAAGGTAATCTTGTTAGTATAGTTACAGACTGCTCACCACATGGCACACATGTTTCTGGCATTGCCTCTGCCTTCCATTCTGAGGTGTGTTGTGGTTGAACTTTAATATTTTTTGCCTTCCTCGCAAGTTAAGTCTACTTGCTTGACTTGATCGATTGATTACTGTGTAGGAGCCACTATTAAATGGAGTTGCTCCTGGAGCCCAATTAATATCATGTAAAATTGGAGATACACGGTTAGGTTCAATGGAGACTGGCACTGGTTTGACTCGGGCTTTGATAGCTGCAGTGGAGGTGAAAACTTTTTCCCAGTAACTTTTGGACGATTCTTCTTTTGAATTAATTTCTACGCATGATATTTGTCAAATTTACTCCTTGTACATCATGTGTAATTTGTCATCTTAGCTTTAGACAATTTGTCTTGACCTTCTGTATTTTAATGGACAGTCCTATAATTAGCTTAACATTTGTTTATCGAGGAATGAGTCATTTTAATCAAAATAATTCATTGATATAGTACTTCTTTTGTGAAGTTTTTAATTTTTTGCTTTTAGATGCCATTTCATTTTAATTTTATTATATCCTTATATAGGAACACGTCTGGATAAAAAAAAAAAAAAAACTCTTAAAGTTGTTATTGGAAAGCACACATTTGTATTTGTATATGGGTGTTAACAATTTCCTTAACATAACATGTTTATATTTTTTTCATCATATAATCAAGCTTGAATAGTTGATTCGAGGGTGGTAACGTTTATGATTAACTTTTTTGATTTTGCTTTCTTTGTTGTTTTAATAATATCATGTACGTTATTCACAATCATATTAGAAAGAAGGATGATTAGGTAGTAGAACTTAAATATAATTAAAGAATGAACATTAGATGATGATGTATGATGTAGGTATTAAAACTTAAATATAATGATGTATGATGTAGTATAATTGCGCTCCATAAAAGAGTGGTCAAAAAGGGGTGCTTAAAACTGTACCTTTTTTTTCCTTACAAATGCTTAGTGTGAGTGCGAGAAATATGAAGTGTTCTAATTATATAGATTTTCTCGACATGAGAATTCACAAGAAATCTACAATTATTGAATATGAATTTTAAAGAGCAAGTACTTGTAAGAAAATAAATATCTGAATCACTCCATTTTATGTCAATGCAAATTAATAGTTTTATGTCATTTGACACCAACATACATATCTGAATCACTCCATTTAAGAAATCCACTAATTTCACCTTTGATAATGATAGGCTTAGAACCCTCATTCAACCCTACTTTCCTACACTTCATGAGTAGAACCACTCTCTCTGCCCTTTAGGTCTTTGAAAATGACTCCTTGATTCATGGTATCAGCTCCACTCCTACTTCTTTCAAAGACATGGCTTTTACAAGTGGATACTCGATACCACAAAAGTTACACTATTATAAATAAGATGAGTACAATGAGAATCACGCCAAAATTGATAGAGTTTGATGGCTCTTAAATAAAGCTCGAGAAACAAAGCCAACAAAGAAATGTTGCAGACAAAGCTCAACAGAAAGTATATGCAGAAAAATATGAAGAACATTTACTAATGATTGAAATGTTTTAACTGGATTCAATGAGGTATCCAAATAAGTGGACTCCCAGGAAAAAAGTCTGCCAAAGGCCATGTGAATTTTAGTGAAGAAACAAGGCATGATAGGCATTGCTTATGCTATTGATTACATATAGTTTGTTGGGCCGTAATTGTTGATCTTAACTCATGTCAAAATTCAAATGATCTCCAAAAATTAGTGAATTTTATTTGGATGAAGTTTGACACATGAATTCATTGATGTTTTTTTTTTTGCAAAAGTATAATTTTAACCCTATTTAAAAATTCCTCAGAGTTGACTGAAATTTTAGAATCTGAGTAAATTCAACATTTAGGAATCTTTTTGAAAATCAATAAAAAATTATGAACACACTTAAACAAAATCATAAAATTAAAATTTTTAAAATAATATGATCAAAGGAGGAGCTAGAAATTTTTCTTAGTGGAGACACAAACTAACCTTAATCTTTTTCATTCAGACTTGGGCTGTCATTAGCTATTTTAAACTTTTTTTTGTTAGAGTTTTAATTTAAAATGATAAAATACATTCTAAGTGAAAAACTTTCGATCAAGAATGGGACCCTTAATGCTTTTCTCTAAGTTTTCTATGTTTAAAAATTTTTGTATCATCATTTTATTATCAATACTATTAAATATGTTCTAAAGTTTTTCATTATCTACATTATCAACACTTGCATTGCCGAAGACTAACACCTCTTGGAAATTGAATATGTCAAATTTGAGGCTAAACTAGTTTATGCAGGTGACTTGTTGATTAAGATAAATATTGTCACACCCCAGTTTGACCTCCCCTTTTAGTCATCCTATAGTGTATCAGAGAAGGAAAAATCTAAACAGAACCCTTCTTACTAACACCAATTTTGAACTATTTCTATCAGAATTAGTTGAGTAAAAAATAATCTATTTAAATTTTCAAACATCAATCTTTATATTTAAGAATAGGAAGCATGCAATATACCTTAATTAAACATCAAATATAATTGAAGGAAATATAGAGCTTTACTAAAAACCTTTAAAATTTACTTACATATCCCAAAAGCCTGTACACCTATCACTCGGATCTCTTTCTACACTCAAAATGTATGTACACCAAAAATAATAGTCACTCTTTTCTGTCTAGTGCCCTACTGCTCCTTCTTTCCTGCAGTACAACCACTGCTAATGAGCTATACTCACTGAAATAAACAAGCAATACATAAACAATAATAATAATCTTATCAACAATTAAGTTAGGATATAGTGAAAGAACATATTGAAATTTCATATCGATCATAAGAAATTCATAACATTACTTTCTATCTTTCAACTGTGCAATACCTTTTTAAACAAGTCATATGATGACTATAAGTTTTTGTACCATTTTAGCTTCCCAATTCAAGGTTGGGTTAAGATTTCTAATTTTAGAATTGAAGCTGCTATCTCATTCAAGGTTGGATATGAATTCTCAACTTTTAGAATTATGATAGTATAAACTTACCTCGTAAGATCTTTCACCTTTACTTGTGCTGACCAATCCCACGTTTATGACTTTTTACTCACTTCCATTTCATATCCATTTAGTACTACTACTTAGTGATTCAAGAATAATTCAAACATATATGAATAAATTGGAATAAATTGAAATAATGATAACATAAACATAATAGATATGCGTTTGTAAATGTATACAAAAATTTTACTATTTTCTATGCATCGTTTGGGTATCTCACATCGCTAGGAATTTGTTCTCCTAGTGTCGGCTTCTTTCCTTTTGTACATTACCTCTACCAAACCTCTCCTCATTCAAATTACTCCCTCCCTTAGCTCTCTTCCTTCTTTCCTTAACTAAATTCAATAGCAAACCATTGAAATTGTCTTCTTACTACGTTTAGCTGCTGTTTTCACCAATTGCATTAGCATTTTAGCAAAATTCAACAACCACCATTACCCAATATCAATAAAGAACAATGCCCTCACTTTTTCTTATAATGACAGTATTTCAATTTATTCCATTTTATTCATATATGTTTGAATTATTGTTGAATCACTTAGTAGTACTAAATGGACAAGAAATAGAAGCGAGTAAAAGTCTTATATGTGGGATAAACCCGCACAATTAAAGGCGAAAGACCTGATGAGATAAGCCTATATTCTCAATTCTAAAAGTTGGGAATTTGGACCCAATCTTGAATGAGAGAGTAGCTTCAATTCTAAAAGTTGAGAATTTTGACCCAACCTTGAATTGAAAAGCTGAAAGGGTACAAAAGTTTATTGTCATCATATAACTTGTTTTAAGGTGTTGAACATATAATAAGATAGAAAGTAATGCTATGCATTTCTTGTTTTAACCATATTATTATTAGTAAGTAATGTTATGCATTTCATAAATTTTAACAATGTTATTATGTTTTCTTATACATTATTTGTGTATTTCATTAAGCCATAGCTTATTAGCAGTGGTGGTATTGTATGAAAGCGGAAGGAGCCTGTAGGGCATTAAGGTGGTGACCATCTTTCTTTTAGTGTGCATACTTTTTGGGTGTACATAAAGGTTCAAGTGGAAGCTGTACAAAGACTTTTTGGGTATGCAAGTAAATTTTAAATGATTAGTTGTGTTAAAGTAGTTTGAATAGACGACTTTTTACGTATCTGATTCTGATATCAGCATTTTAGAATGGGGGTAAGTAAAAAAAGGGTCTGTTCAGATTCTCCTTCTCTGTTACATTCTAGTTCGACTGTAGAAGGTTTATAATGGGGTGTGACACTAGATCTGTTCAGCCCAACTAGATTGCATGCACTGCAGCTCCCTTGCTCTGTTTGGTCCAAGCGCACGCACACAAGGCTAGCTGCTCGGTCTCTCTCTGCTCGCAAGCAGGAACAATAGCTCTTGGCATTTGTCTTCCTCTTGATCAAGTCGACGCATGCAAGAGCCGAATGCAAGCTCTTTCCCTCGTCTACTTCTATCTCAACTGGAAGAAGAAGATATGCATAGGGAAGAAGATCCTCTCACACTGCTAGATAGGAATGCAGACGCCTTGCTTTAGGCACTCTCTCGTGTTTTCTTGGGGACAAACCACACAGAAGAAAATCAAAGCCGAACGACTCTGCTTCCTAGTTCGACTCTCCTTATACACGAGCAGAGGTCACTGCCCTGTCGATCTCTCTTAAAGTCGCCCGTATTCGCTTCCAAATAAGGCTATCACGCGATCTGGATACTATGACAGCGGCAGAGTTGGGATTTCGAGTAAATCAGAGCTGTCGATTTCAAAAAATTGATTTGGAAAGGTTAAGTTGACTCATATTTGATCACTTGGTCTAAAATTGAGCTTGAATCGGACTTGATTTGAATCAATTTGGGTCGATTCGAGTCTGATTGGGTCCGATTGAGTTAATTTTGCAAACTTGGACTCGATTCTGCGCGGATTTGAGTTGCATTGGGCTCGACGAGGCTGATTTAATTGATCGGTTCAATCGAACCCGATCAAGTCCGATTCGACTTGATTTGGGTTGAGTTGAGACCGAAAATGCCTCAACTTCTGTGAGGCACAACATTGCAAAAACATACACTACACTAATAACCTAACAAATTAATTAATGCCCCAATGACTCAGTCCATTAAAACAGAAGATGCTGGCAACCAAACAGCTAAATCGATCTTACATACATATTTTTTTAAATTAATTTTTTTACTATTTCTGAAAATCATTGATAT